TCTGTGACACCAGGCCTTTTCAGAGGGCCGATGAAAACCGTGCTGGAAGACCTTCGACTTCGACAAACACCGACAATATGACTCGTGTGCGCGAAGTTTTGAACTCAGACTGTCGACTAAGTATTCGTTTAATAGCCCAGATATTAAATTTACCAAAATCTGTGGTTCATGTGACGAAGCATTTGAACATGCGCAAGGTGTGCGCGAAGATGATCCCAGAAGTGCTCACTGACGACCAGAAATTACGGCGAGTGGAAGTGTGCCAAGAAAATTTAAACATGTGTGAAAGTGACCCCCAATTTTTGAATAACGTAATCACAGGTGACGAGTCATGGATCTTTGAGTATGATCCTGTGACAAAGAGGCAATCTTCCGAGTGGCACACGCCGGCGTCTCCTCGCCCTAAAAGGGGATTAATAATGAGCAAATCCAAAGTTAAAACGATGCTCATTTCTTTTTTGACATGAATTTCTGCCTCCTGAACAAACCAACAACGCCAAGTTTTACGTGGAAGTGCTCAAGAGACTCAAACGAAGGGTCAATCGGATCCTACAAGACATCGCAGATGTGCTCCCCCTGGACTTTTTTATTTGCTCGCCTGAAAAGGCCGATGAAAAGCAAGCATTTTGAGACGATAGAGGGATCTAAGCAGCATGCACCGCGGTTCTTAAGGCTATTCCGGAGAATGCCTTCCGTGAAGCTTTCATCAATGCTTGGAAATCGCGCTGGCAGCGCTGCATCGACGCGGAAGGAGCCTATTTTGAAAGTTTTTAAAGAATTGTAACGATTGGCTCAATAAATTTTTTTAAATCGACTCAGTCCTAGTACTTTCCGGACAAACCCTGTATTTTATACTTTAATTTCTATGACTCTTATTAACCCTAACCATGACTCTGATTACCCCATACTTTGGACAATGTGAGTCAAAACAACTTTTTTAAAATTAAGAAAATGTTACATTTTTTGTACTTTTTTTATTTGCTAGTAGCTTAGTTTATATCTTAATAAATATAGTTACTAAACTGAAATTAAGAAAATACTTTTTTACAGTTCTCTTTAACTGACTACGATTCCCCGTACTCCACTACATGCCAATTAGCAGGGATTTAATTAGTTGGCTCTTCTGATAATATCGCAAATTTTAAATGAACAGTTGCTGCATCCTTATCATTTGCAGCGATTGCAAGCCTTGCTTGAAACTGATATTCAACTATTCAACCGCGGGTGTATTTGGATGTTGATTACAGACAAATTTTCTTTACGCGAGCCAGAATTGGCATGTTGTACATCTTTCTATATACATTGCTTTTCTTATTGAAGACATGCTTTTTTCAGTACATTGAGGGTAAAAGCATCTAACAAAATTTGGACAATATGTTTTGTCGTCAGTTCTGCACCTATTATAAAATTTACTTCTTACCTATCATAAATCTAAATTGCAAGTTTCTGTTAATTTATACTGCAGTGGCTACCTAATTTATAAACTTCTGAAAGCTTCTAATTAAAGTACTAATTAGGGAACAATGAACAAGACTAAAAGCTGTGGAGTTGCACTTCTAAACTTTGAAAACAATAAAGGGATGGTCGAAATGTAAACCAGAAGCAGCTTTATTAGCAGGGTCTTTGATATTGTGTTTCTTTTGTGGTAATTTGGAAAGTTTTCTTTTGGATTAACTCGTTATTAAAAAGTCTTCTCACTTCCATCGGTGAAAATTTATTTGAATATCAAGTTGACTTATTCATTTCCATTTCAAATGTACTACAATGGGCTGCAACTAATTCCAATGCACCGATCGACGGTACTAAATCATTTGCACCTCTTCCTACACAGTAATTAATCATGGTCTTCCCGTTTCCTTTACAATTAGGTGGCAATAGTATTCCAACAACTCTCTGAATTAAAATTCAAGTGCTCCTCAAAGGATAATTGAATTCATTTGGTTGCATACATGCTCGTTAAAATGATTCAAGTTAATTTTAAATAATTCTATAGTCGTTTCGAACGATTAGTACCTGTTTTCTGCGCGGTAAAAAGTAGTATATGTTTAAGCTTTCGAAAAAAGAAATTACATAATTTTTTAACTTATTTCTACACTTTTCCCAGCGGTTAGGTAATTTTTAGGGTTCCATACGTCCGAATGAAAAACGAAATCCTTATAGGATCACTCGTGTGTCAAATACAAGCGCATAACGTAAATAAATTAATTTTGAACATGGGGCCATTTTTCCAGGGGCCAATGGAAAATTGAAAAACAAAATTTTGTAAACTCTACCGTGTGACATATCAAAGGAAGGGGCTTGTTGTAAGAGTATTATAAATATATTTATCTTATAATTTTAAAATAAATAGTTTTAATGTTTATTTTAGGTATTGATAAAACAGTATTGTGTGAAAATAAATAAAAGTAGAACAAAAATACTGGTTTGCAAGGAAAGAAAAGCTAGGGAAAGAGCGAATATAAAGATAGGAGGCGAAAAATTAGAAGAAGTGACTAGCTATAGGTGTCTAGGAAGTTACAGGTCGGACGAAGGAAGCTGGCGAGCGGTCGCGAAGGTACTTGCCCATTTATGACCTACGAGGGTGGATTGATAAGTTTCCGGCCTAACCAAGAGATGACGCCACTAGGCCTACCTTGAGGTGACATTCTATAGTACCATCCTTGGATAGCTTGTAGCTATAGTTTCAGCCCGATCTCCTTGCTAGTGTAGGTTTGACAGCACGCTGAACAAGACGCCTCTGTGGTTTTCGTAAAAATGGAAAAGCAGGAAAATC